AAAAACAATCTTTCAACTTGGGACTTCAGACAATTGACTTTCCCCTTGCTCACGGCCGTTTCCGTATAGTTTTAGAGGAGGATGTGGCAGAGATACACCACACTCACACGCAACTCACCAGCTTCCAAACGCAGCTGCACAACCTTGACCACCGTCCCACTCCTGGACGTTTCCGACCTCCCCCACCTCCCGGGGCACGCACTCCCTGGTCGCCCCCCCAGCCTCTGGAAAACCACCACCTGCTTGCTAGCTGTCTAAGTCACCAGTTCGGGACATTTCAGAGAAGCGGAATTCCGTGGCCTTCTGTGTCCAGCGGCCCTCCCCAAGCAGGCGTTCCAAGCTCCCCCAAGCTGTGGCAGGTGTCAGCACCACGATCCTCTGAATCGCCAGATAATATCCATCGCGGGCACTTACACACTTCCCAGTGGATGGATATTTGGGGTATTTCCACTGTCTGGCTATTAATTGCTAAAAATAGCTACTGAATATTTGAATATTCAACGCTGAATGCTGAATGGCTTTGAACATGTGTCTAGCAGGGCACACCAGCCCCCTTGCTTCTCTCAATGCCCAGCTGCCAAGAGACACCCTAAACCTGCCTGGGCTGACTCCAGCTGCCCTCCCAACGACCCCCACCCACTTGCACCAATGCCAGTGTCCTCGCTAACCCACAACGCCCCCAGGGCCGAGCACTCACTTCCCTTCCCAGTGCCGTAGTACGCTGTGGGGAAGGCACTTGTGCAGTCTACGCTCCAGACTACTGCCTGAGGCAAATTTACTCCCTCAATTTTAATTGCTCCCACTGCTCAGACCCAGGCTGCTTTCCAGAAAGTCTGTACCTCTCGACAGCACCAACATAAATATCTGCCACAGCCTTGCAACACTTAGGGTGGTTATTAAACCTTTGATAGCCACGGGTCCCATCGGAGTCACCTGCGAGTTCGAACGGTTTTCGGGACTACCGGCATTTTCCTAATTGCTATTTTCCTAGACGGCACTTAAGTTCAGCTTCTCGAGAGCCTTACCTTCCGGATGGTTTCCCGCCATCTCCTCCCCTTGCGTACCCCTTCCTCCTCGTTAATATGCTGTGCTTATGAAGCCAGGACAACTACGGCTGGGTGGCCAGTCCTTCCAGTTACTCGCCCAGGACTCCTGATCGTGTCCCTCGGCACCTGGTGCACAAACCCAAGGCCGAGCTGGGGACGTGTGTTTGTGGTCTCCACTCTTCCCCCTCTGAACTCCCTCCCTCCCGTCCATAAGGACCGGGGTTCGGTACCAGGGACGGCTACCGCGTCCTGGCTGGAGACAGTGTGGCTGCGTGTGGCCGGGGCTGTGGTGTCAGAGTCTCGGCTGCCGGCGTGGAGGCGACTGCACGCACTGCCTCTGGGCCCCGTGCGGTCTCCCCGGGACGGAGTTCATACCGGAAGTCCCCTTCATAAACCAAGCGAACGCAAACACCTTCAATCAGAATTGTGGGATGACCTTGAACAGTGCGCAGTGCCAACATCCTGACCAACGTGGGCAGTCTGCAGAGGCGGGCAGT